CGGTCGACTCTGAGGATCCCCAGGATCCGCTTGCGGGTATGGCAGTCTTGTCGAATAACAAATGTAACCTGGGCGCTTTGGATGATGAAGTACGATTCGTTCATGAAATACTAACATCCATTCCAAATTGTAGGTATCCTCGGAGATTTGATGAGATATATGTAGTGTAGATGTTTGCTCTGGGGGATGAATTTGCTCATAAATCTACCCTGGAACTTCTACCGGTCGCTTGCACACAAGATCGATTAACGGCTGTGCAACTTTCTCGGACCACTCCTTTGGTACCTTGTACTTCTCTGACCGGCGTTGTCGATAAAGTTGCATTACTTCCTTCCGAATGTATGTTGCAGTATTGCTGCCCTGATCATACCATTTTATCATAGCTTCAAGCGTTTTCTCATCGTTGATATTGAAAACGTAGACTTTCTCCATGATGAGCACCGTGTCTTCGCATTGCCGTAGTCAGCCTACTGATACCCATTACAACCAAGAAAACATTTACTAACCTGCTACCCGCTGTTCCCACCTACAGAAAGCCAGCAAATCGGGGCGGGCATTCACCTCGGAGAAGTCGGATGATTGTCGGTGGCCTATGAGACGTCGGCTGTCATCCAAATGTTTTTCCAAGAGACGAATAAGCTTGTGGGAAGAAAACATATCAGTGAACTTGGTATCACAATGGATTGAATCACTTACCTTGATCGGTGCTTGAGGCCCCGATGTAGAGTCTGTCCAAAAGGTATCCCAAGTCTTGATGAACGGTCCGCCACGAAACATCTTCTCGGAGTAACTTTTATGATAGTTCCCTGAGGAAATAACCGTTTAAAAAGGGGTCATATATACTTATCAAGAACCAACAATTTAATCCATTTCTGGGGAAACAGGGGTTAACGTTCAACGAATGAAGCACGCAGTGATGAAGGCGAATGATACTTACGCAGTAGACGTGATGAGTTTAACTTTACTATCGGCACTTTGGGCAGAGGCGAAAAACGTTCGAAGGTCATAACCGCTTCGTGCTTGACGCTGCGTTTCTGTCAGAGACAATACTTTCAGTGATTCATCAATCAATCGGGCTAAGCGACTGTCGTCTGGAGCCGACTTGTGCACTTCAAGTAACTTCTTGTCAAACACGATGCAAATTTGCACACCAAACTAACTCACCTTCGGATAGAGTTACAACGGCCCTTGGCGGATGCTGCATGCTCAAAAGGGGTTTCTTGTAGTGCTGCTCGAATCGTTTGTCCGCCTCAACACCAGCAATCTTTTCAAGCTCGTCATCATCAACTTCCTCGTCTTCTTCTTCCGCTTTTTCTTCCAATTTCTGCTGCATATCTTGTAAAAATGTGTCGAACTTGGTCACAATGGCCACAACCGGTACTATGGGAAACGTCACGTTTGAAGATGGTGGTTCATCTTTGATCTTACCTGTCAAAGGCATCGAAAAAAAATCTTTCTCTGCTTGCTGGATGGGCCGAGAATTCATCTCCAAGCAGTACCTGCGGCAATTTGGCTGAGCTTGCCCATAATGAAGAAAGGGAGCAAGACGAACCACACCAAATGCAATTTCTGGTTTATGTCTTTTGCCCGCGAACGACTGTCGATGAATTTCCAAACAACATCCACCTCTGCCTGCTTTCCCGCTTCAAATCCCTCGGAATCATGCGCAATAATCTTCTTGTTCCCCTCGAACTCGATTTCTTTTTCAATATTATGGGTACCTCTCTTAAGATATCGTATTTGGTTTCTGCGTGGTATGACAAGTCGAACGACTTTGCACTCACCGTGGTGCTGGGCGCGTCCACCTCAAATGGAAAATATGAAATGTAAGCCTTGCGAGAGCTTGGTCGTTCTCACCATATTCCCGCCACACACCTGGAACGTAAAGTTAGTGGCTTCATGAGATGCGAGATCTGGTTTGAAGTGCTAACTTTATACAGAATTGTGGTTTTGCCGCACCCCGTTTTCCCGATGATCAACAATCTAAACTTTTCAAGTGGAGGCAATGCGACCGCGACGGCTGCTGCCAGTAATCTCTTCAATTCTTGCTCCTCGGAGGCATCTAGTTGAGGCGCTTTTTCAGATTCCACATCTTCATTTTTCGATGATGACTTTAACAGTCCCTTAAGTTTATCGAACTTCGTTGGAGGGGGTTTTGGACGGGGGCGCAATGCCTCGCGAGTTGCAATTTGAAACACTTCGCGAACCCCCTCTCCAGTGTAGCTAGAGCATTCAACATAGTGCCTTGCTCCGATTTTCTTCGCAACTGCCTGTCCCTGGTATGAAATGGTAGTGGAGGAGAGTACCTCTTCCAAGTTTAGCTCAACCTACCTCTTCAACGGTCACGAGACGTTGATTCGTCTTCCGTAGTTCTTCAATGATTCTCGGATCTCTTCTCCGGTCTTTTTGCGCACCTACCAGGATGATAGGGAGCCCACGACAGAAGTGGTTGATCTCAATAATCCACTGCGATAATCGAAAAAAGAATATTAGCATCGAGGTATTACTTGAGGAGCTGACCCGCACCTTTTCTACGACGTTGTCCAGGGAATCGGGAGTAGCAATGTCAAAGCATATAAGAATAACGTGCGAGTCGGGGTATGCCAGAGGACGCAAGCGATCATAGTCTTCCTGACCAGCCGGACACCATAACGCCAACTCGACATGCTTCCCATCCACCTCAACGTCGGCGACGTAATCTTCGAAGGGATTTGGGATTGATATCTGTTCACGAGTGTTATCTGTGACGCTCCAATCAATTAATATCCACATACCTCTGGGAATGTTCCCGTCGAGAATGTAACGAGCAACGCCGTCTGCGACATACCGTAGTCAGTGTCATTTGTGCAATCCGCATTGCGATATGTCCGGACAAACCTTCCCTGCACAACCGTCACCTACGATGACGAGTTTTCGGCGGATCAGAGCCATCGCGTCCTAAGATCCTCGACCGTTCGCGATAGTGGATATGATAATGCCAAAGTTGCTTGTAGCACACGTTCAGATTGGGTCGCTCGGAAAGGCCCGACAGCACCCCCACGTGTTGGACAATGCTCGACGTCGTTACTTTTGTCCTTTGAAAGGTTCCGTTATGTTTTGACGTCTGCCTAAATCGATCAACAGCACCAGCTCACTATATCAGTAAGCTTTACGCACGAAAAATGCTCCACTTCGGACTCACGCGCTCGGACGAAGGACGGGGGAATGCACACTCAGCATATACATCTATCAAACGAGAGGTTTTGAGTGGGCCTTCTCATAACAAGTTTGATGGTGCAAGCGATGGTTGGCAAGAGAGAGATGGTTGTGAGTCGGAGATGAATTCGCGTGACGCTCCAGCAAAACACTTGCTACATATATCTTCAACAGGAGTTACAATCCCAACACTGAGATCGCTACCGGTGTTATTTACAGTGTAATATATATCACAGTAGTATCACAGAGGACGAGTGCTACTAGAGCCAAACCCAAATACGCAATGAAAACCATCTCATCAACGCAACGCACTCTCCCGCAAGGTATTCGTCGAACTCCAAAGATTACTCCAAAGCTTCTCCCCTTCAAACCCCTCATCTCCATTCATCCCACCACCAGCACCAGGCGCCGCAGTCCCCATAATAACCGCCAAATCTCTCTGGCACTTTTGTAAAATCTTGGTAAGGTGCGCCAGCCCCGCCTGCTGCTCCGAAAGGATCTAAAATTTAAAAAAAGCCACACCATCAATCCCCCTCAACGTCAAAAAAAAAAAAAAAAAAAAAAAAACGAAATAACCCACCTGCGCAATCTGCCCCAACCCCTCATCATCAACAACAGCCCACTCCCCCGTTCCCCCACGTCCCCTCTCAATACTCGCACTAACAGCCCCAAGCAGCGCCCAAAGCTCATTCAACCTTCCTTTAACCCGTCCCTTCCTAATCTCATCCTCAATCTCCTCCAACTTACCCCTCATCTCCTCCTCCTCCGGCCTAATCGCCGACGACCTAACCGACGGAATCAACAAATGCAAATGCTGCACGAACACCAACAATCGATGCACGATCTGTGTTTGTTTTGCGGATGCGCGGAGGAGGCGCGTGGAGTTTTGGACGGCGTGGGCTGTGGAAAGGGATTCGAGGCGCGATTTGAGGTCGGTTAGTTTTTTGGTGTGGGTTGTTGATTGTTGGTTTTGGGCTTCGACGCGATCGCGGAGGTCGTCGAACCCGATGGCTATTACGGGTACCATGCTGTAGATAGGTTAGGTTAGAATTTCGTTGTTACAGACGGAAGGGAGGAAGGGTAGAGAACTGACCAGGATGGATCAGGGTTTTCCCGCAGTGCCTTTTCCCAGAGGGCGTCATTAGTAGCATTTGGCGGGCGGCCATACAAGTTGACTTGGTTCGGATCCACAAGATTGTAAAAGTTGTGCTGTCAACTCACCCTCAGTCTCGAAAAAAAAAAAAAACCAACAAAAAACGCGTACCTGAAACCGACACTGAGGAGAAGCAGGGTTCCACGCATTATATATCCCTTCAAACCTAGCAGTGATATTCGCATGCTGACTCGCAGGACCATTCTGCTGCGCGCCTCCCAACCCTCCAAGCGATCTAGACGAAAGAAGGCTCCCAGTAGGCTGTAGTGGCTGCTGCCCCCCGCCGCCAAAAGCGCTGGTTCCAAGGGTACTACCCCCAAAGAAATTTTTACCGCCGCCCAACAGCGGATTCGTGTTAGTGCTACCCCCGAATAAATTGGATTGCTGCTGTTGCTGGCCACCCCCGAACAAGTTGCTAGTACCCGTCGGGGCGGTCGTCGTCGTCGTACTCCCAAACAAGCCTCCACCACCCGGTTTCGCCTGGCTACCTCC